TTCCATGCTTGAGCCCCCTGTTATACCCCGCCGCGGGCTGTGTGTGTGTTGAATATTTGTTCTCCGGTGCTTGTATATTATTCGGAAGCTTAGCAAGGATCAGTTTAAGACCTTGGTTCGAATCCTTTGTCGTTGATTTGTATTTAAAAAGAAAGAAAGGACGGCGGGGTGAAGTTCATAACATAAATATATATTTGTCTCTGTAAATGCTCCTTGTCTTTGTAAACTGTCTTTCTATATTTAAACATGAATTCCATGCTTGAACCCACTGTTGTACCCCGCCGCGGGCTTTGTGTGTTTGTGTGTGTCTTGTATATTATTTGGAAGCTAAGCAAGGATCAGTTTAAGACCTTGGTTCGAATACTTTGTCCTTGATTTGTATTTAAAAAAAGAAAAAGAAATATGTTTGAGCGGAGTGAGCGGGGTTGAGCGGAGTTGCGGGTTGAGCGTTGAGCTTGAGCAGTTCAGCTTGAGCGGAGTTGACTTCAATTAAATATATTTGTCTCTGTAAATGCTCCTTGTCTTTGTAAACTGTCTTTTTATTTTTAAACATGAATTCCATGCTTGAGCCCCTGTTATACCCCGCCGCGGGCTGTGTGTGTGTTGAATATTTGTTCTCCGGTGCTTGTATATTATTCGGAAGCTTAGCAAGGATCTGTGTAAGGCCTTGGTTTGAATCCTTTGTCGTTGATTTGTATTTAAAAAGAAAGAAAGGACGGCGGGGTGAAGTTCATAACATGAATATATATTTGTCTCTGTAAATGCTCCTTGTCTTTGTAAACTGTCTTTCTATATTTAAACATGAATTCCATGCTTGAACCCACTGTTGTACCCCGCCGCGGGCTTTGTGTGTTTGTGTGTGCTTGTATATTATTTGGAAGCTAAGCAAGGATCAGTTTAAGACCTTGGTTCGAATACTTTGTCGTTGATTTGTATTTAAAAAGAAATAAATGTTTGAGCGGAGTTGAGCAGCCGGCTTCAATTAAATATATATTTGTCTCTGTAAATGCTCCTTGTCTTTGTAAACTGTCTTTCTATATTTAAACATGAATTCCATGCTTGAGCCCCTGTTATACCCCGCCGCGGGCTGTGTGTGTGTTGAATATTTGTTCTCCGGTGCTTGTATATTATTCGGAAGCTTAGCAAGGATCAGTTTAAGACCTTGGTTCGAATCCTTTGTCGTTGATTTGTATTTAAAAAGAAAGAAAGGACGGCGGGGTGAAGTTCATAACATAATATATATTTGTCTCTGTAAATGCTCCTTGTCTTTGTAAACTGTCTTTCTATATTTAAACATGAATTCCATGCTTGAACCCACTGTTGTACCCCGCCGCAGGCTTTGTGTGTTTGTGTGTGTCTTGTATATTATTTGGAAGCTAAGCAAGGATCAGTTTAAGACCTTGGTTCGAATACTTTGTCCTTGATTTGTATTTAAAAAAAGAAAAAGAAATATGTTTGAGCGGAGTTGAGCGGGTTGAGCGGAGTGAGCTTGAGCAAGTTGAGCGGATTATAGCCGGCTTCAATAAATATATTTGTCTCTGTAAATGCTTGTCTTTGTAAACTGTTTTTATTTTTAAACATGAATTCCATGCTTGAGCCCCTGTTATACCCCGCCGCGGCTGTGTGTGTGTTGAATATTTGTTCTCCGGTGCTTGTATATTATTCGGAAGCTTAGCAAGGATCAGTTTAAGACCTTGGTTCGAATCCTTTGTCGTTGATTTGTATTTAAAAAGAAAGAAAGGACGGCGGGGTGAAGTTCATAACATAAATATATATTTGTCTCTGTAAATGCTCCTTGTCTTTGTAAACTGTCTTTCTATATTTAAACATGAATTCCATGCTTGAACCCACTGTTGTACCCCGCCGCGGGCTTGTGTGTTTGTGTGTGTCTTGTATATTATTTGGAAGCTAAGCAAGGATCAGTTTAAGACCTTGGTTCGAATACTTTGTCCTTGATTTGTATTTAAAAAAAAGAAAAATAATGTTTGAGCGGAGGGTGAGCAGCCGGCTTCAATTAAATATATATTTGTCTCTGTAAATGCTCCTTGTCTTTGTAAACTGTCTTTCTATTTTAAACATGAATTCCATGCTTGAGCCCCTGTTATACCCCGCCGCGGGCTGTGTGTGTGTTGAATATTTGTTCTCCGGTGCTTGTATATTATTCGGAAGCTTAGCAAGGATCAGTTTAAGACCTTGGTTCGAATCCTTTGTCGTTGATTTGTATTTAAAAAGAAAGAAAGGACGGCGGGGTGAAGTTCATAACATAAATATATATTTGTCTCTGTAAATGCTCCTTGTCTTTGTAAACTGTCTTTCTATATTTAAACATGAATTCCATGCTTGAACCCACTGTTGTACCCCGCCGCGGGCTTGTGTGTTTGTGTGTGTCTTGTATATTATTGGAAGCTAAGCAAGGATCAGTTTAAGACCTTGGTTCGAATACTTTGTCCTTGATTTGTATTTAAAAAAGAAAAATAATATGTTTGGCGGAGTTGAGCGGGGTTGAGCGGAGTTGAGCGGGGTTGAGCGAGCGTGTTCGGAGTGAGCGGGGTTTGAGCAGGAGCGGCCGGCTTCAATTAAATATATATTTGTCTGTAAATGCTCCTTGTCTTTGTAAACTGTCTTTATTTTTAAACATGAATTCCATGCTTGAGCCCCCTGTTATACCCCGCCGCAGGCTGTTTGTGTGTTGAATATTTGTTCTCCGGTGCTTGTATATTATTCGGAAGCTTAGCAAGGATCTGTGTAAGCCTTGGTTTGAATCCTTTGTCGTTGATTTGTATTTAAAAGAAAGAAAGGACGGCGGGGTGAAGTTCATAACATAAATATATTTGTCTCTGTAAATGCTCCTTGTCTTTGTAAACTGTCTTTCTATATTTAAACATGAATTCCATGCTTGAACCCACTGTTGTACCCCGCCGCGGGCTTGTGGTGTTTGTGTGTGTCTTGTATATTATTTGGAAGCTAAGCAAGGATCAGTTTAAGACCTTGGTTCGAATACTTTGTCCTTGATTTGTATTAAAAAGAAAAATAAATATGTTGAGCGGAGTTGAGCAGGCCGGCTTCAATTAAATATATTTGTCTCTGTAAATGCTCCTTGTCTTTGTAAACTGTCTTTCTATATTTAAACATGAATTCCATGCTTGAGCCCCTGTTATACCCCGCCGCGGGCTGTGTGTGTGTTGAATATTTGTTCTCCGGTGCTTGTATATTATTCGGAAGCTTAGCAAGGATCAGTTTAAGACCTTGGTTCGAATCCTTGTCGTTGATTTGTATTTAAAAGAA